TGCTTTGTTGTTGATTTTTGGGAAAACTGAACATATTTCTATTCTTTTACCTAAAAGGGAAAAGATCCTAATATGGGATAGTTGGGAACAGATGAGATTAGAAAGACATCAATGAAAATACATTTGTCTTGAATGCAACAATATTGAAAAGTGGATTTGTTGAAGATTTAATTTAGCCTCATTGGGGTTTGCGAGAAGTCGTCCACTAATGGCACTGGGAAATTGTTCAAAGCTGACATGAGAACTTGACTTGAGGGTTATGTTGGGAGTTGACCAAAGTTTGAGAATGGGATGTCGACAACTCCATTGGAGAATGAATTTTCCTTGAAGATCGAGAAAAGGAACTCAACAACACGACCAAGTAGAACTCGATGATAAAGTGTAGAGATGAACTCAGCTTAAAGGGTGAGGAGAACTTGACAACTAGTCCAAGTGGCAACTTGGCTTTGTGTCTTAAAATGGAAGTCTTTGGTTTACGGTCGGGAAGGAAGTCATTGGTCAAAAGTTGAGAAGGGCTTAAATCGCATTGAGGGAGCCATCAACTATTTGAAACTTAAAATCACCTTAATGTAAAAGGTCAACAATAGAGTCACTGGCTATTTGGGTTCTATTGTATCTGTTGTATTTGTCTCGGAGTCAATTGAGAAGATGTGAGTTAGTGGTATTGCTCCTTTGATTGCTTGGAGTTAAATAACAACTATGTAGTTTTTTTCATTTGGTTGGTTGTATTTTGAAATCAGCATGAGATCAGATTTTATGCTCTACAATTACTTCAAAATCCCAAACATATGAGGTTTTATCTTTCATGCAGGCATTGAGTGACAACAAGAACAACAACAAACCTTTATTCCACTAAGTGGGGTTGTCTACATGAATCCTTTTTCTCCATTATCCTTTTTCTCCATTATCCATTACATCCTATTGAGTGTCATGTTTTCATTTAATTCTAATAGATTAAGATCATTTTTTATACAATATGCCCAAGTCTTTTTAGGTCAACATTTTCCATTTTCAGCATAAGTTGAATCTAAAATATCCACTCTCATAACCAAATCATTAGACAGTTGACGTTTAGTGTGACCAAATCATCTAAAACATCTCTCTATATTCTTGTCCGCCAGTGGTGCTACATCAACTCCATCTCAGATATATTCATTTCGTATTTTGTGTCTAAGTGTCAAGCCACTCATCCACCTAAACATTCTCATCTCAGCAAAACTTATCTATCCAGCAAAACACTCTTATCTCAACAAAACTTAACTTTGTTTTATGTTTCTATTTTAAAAGCCAACATTCTGCCCTATAGAGCATTGCAGGTTTCACCACCATCTTATAAAATTTTTTTTCCAGTCTAAACAATACTTTTCTATCACACATTAGGACCGATGCATTCCTCCACCAACTTGATTTCTACTAATAACATTCCCATCTATATCACTATCACTTTGAACAATATACCCTATATATTTAAAAAGTTCACAACTTTTATTGATTTGATTGCCCATAGTTACAATTTTGCCACTAGAGTTACTACTACTAAAATTATATTCAATGTATTCAGTTTTAGATCTACTCAAACGAAGACCTTTAGACTCAAATGTAGACATCTATAATTCAAATTTTTGCTGAATTCTTTCTTTAGTTTTATCCACAGGAAAGATATCATTAGCGAAAGACATACAACATGGTACATCCTTCTGTAAATGCATAGTAAGAGCATCGATAACTAAAACAAAAAGATATGGGCTTAAAGCTGATCCTTGATGTTATCGAACTTAAATAGAAAAATACTTTGTCAATCCTCCTATTCGAACACAAATAACAACTCTTGTATACATATCTTTAGTGACTTGAATATAAGTCATATCAACACCTTTCTTCTTTAGAACTCTCCAAAGGACTTCTCTTGTAACCTTATCATAAGCTTTGTCTAAGTCAACAAAAATCATATGTGGATCCTCCTTATTCTCTCTGCACTTCTCTATAAAATCTCTCAATAAATAACTTTTATTGTAGACCTGTCGTACATAAATCCAAATTGATTATGAAAAATCTTTGTAGCACGCCTTAAGCTATGATCAATTACCCTCTCCCATAATTTTAAAGTACGACACATCAACTTAATTTCTCTATAATTTGCACACTCTTGTGCGTCTTATTTATTCGTAAAAATGGGGACCAATATACTCTTCCTCTACAACTGGAGCATCTTTTTTGTTTTTAAAATAATATTATGGAGTTCAGTAAGCCAAGAAACTCCCAAATCTCTTAAATATATTCACACTTAAATTGAGATATCATTAGGTTCTAATGATTTTCCACCATTGATTTTATTTAAAGCTTCCTCAACTTTCTTTTTTTACTAATGTGACGGTAAAAATAAAATGTTTTATTATTATTAAATTATTAAAATAAAATGTTTTATTATTATTAACGATATTAAAATCACTAAGATCGATCGTATTTTTAAAAACTTCATTGAAAAGTTTATCAAAATAGCTCACCCACGTATGTTCAATTTTTTTCTCTAAGAAAAAACAGTTTTATTTTCATCTTTAATACATTTTTCTTGAATTAAATATTAACTTTTTTTTTTCTTTTTGTTTAACTAGTTTATAAATACATTTTTCACCATCTATAATATCGAATATGTTATAAAGATCACTAAAATCAAAATTTTTAGCATTACAAATTATTCTCTTAAACTCACCTTATATTTTTTCTTGTTATTTAAGCTGTTACATTTAAACCAATTTTTATAACACAATATTTTATATTTTATCTTGTTTTTGTACATTATTATTCTATCACCAATTATTTTTATTTATAAATTTTTTTTTTATTCTTCAAATACATCTTTTGCTACTTGTTTAATAGTATTAATTACTTTATCTCACATAGAATTCATTTCTTCATGAACATCCCAAATCTTAAAATTTTGAAGTTTATATATAAAAATAATTTTAATTATCTTTCAGGTGTCCCATCTAATTCTATGACAATATTTCATTATATATTTTTATCTCACAACACTTCATCTTAAAATCCCAAGCTAATAATTGATGCTGAGTACTTAAATTTCACTTAGAATGACCTTACAATCTTTACATTATCGATGATCTCTTTTTCTCATATGAAAATAATAACGTTTTATTAAACTTATTTTCATAATTAATAATATGCTCATCTATTTTCTTAAATAAAATATTTTCACTAACAAAATCATACGCTAAAGCAAAATCTAATATACTTCAATCTTTTTTATTAATCACTCCAAAACTGTAGCCACCATGAATATTTCTAAAATCTTCTATCATTCGACCAATATGTCCATTTAAATCTCCAATAATAATTCTTTTTTCAGGAGGTATTATTTGTATTAATTTTTCTAGATTATTCATAAATTTTTCTTTAGAACCTATGTCTAAACTTATTCGAGGAACATAAGCACTTATAACATTAAAAATCTTAGTATCAACAATAATCTTTATGGGCTATAATTCTATCTATAATTCTAGCTATAATTCTATCTCTAATTCTATTAATTTTTATAATATTATCTTTCAAACTCTTATCTATAATTACACTTACACCATGTTTAGTGCGACTCCTACTTGGATACCAAAATTTAAAATCTAAGTTATCAATCTTCTCAACCTTTTCTTGAATCCATTTAGTCTCTTGAATACATAAAATATTTATCTTCCTAGGAATTATAATATCAACTAATTTTATTAATTTTCCTATGAGAGTACTTTTATTCCAAGATCTTATCCTAATATTAGTTTCATTGACTAACTTTTTTACCCGCATCTGTCGGTACTGTGGGAACCCTTGTTTATTTGACACTACACCCGTGTGCCAATATAGCGGCCCTTGCACATTTTGCACTGTATCCAGGCCATATAACGCGCTGCTTCAAGAGGAAGCCCTAGCATTTACACAATTATTTATTCATGTCATGATTTTTTTGACAAATTTTATGTTGGCCATCGACTACCTTACGTAACTCTCCAGTTTTTGCATTCGGAGCTTGAGACCCGACAATAACAGTGTTAAAGCGTATTTTCATGCTACCAAATGCATCCTTAGTGGAATTGAATCAGCAGGCATTTAACTGATTTACTTAATGGGCTGGAATATGCAGGAATAAGGACGCCTATATTAATTCTTTCTAGAACCCGCATCGAAGGGAAGTTTCATGCATTATGTAGGTGTTTTAATCAGGGGCAATTGCATGTATTCTACCGAATTCTTATGGATTTAAGTATCTAACTCCTATACTTTTGTACATTCATAATGCCCAAGTCTTTCATAGCACATAAAAAATGCCATTATTTTAACTTTAGAAAGGTGAAATGCACCTTTTCATACATAGGTAAGGTGACATATATGTAAAAATTGAAGTTTGGTGTTAAATATGCGAATACATAGGAAACAGGTGGTATTTATGTCAATCTTTCTTTAACCAATGGAGTGCTGCAACAGAGATTTGGCCGTGAAGTGATTTTTGTTCCCCATAACTATCGATGAAGAGGCTTCTGTTAGACGAGCCCTTTTACAATAGGCGTATTGCTTAGGATTAAGCTGGCTATTCTATATTTGATTTTGCCATCTTTGTTACATACTGGCTCTTTAGAAATAGTACTTATTTTATTTAATATTCATTTTTTGTTGGCTCTTCATTTTTTCCCCAAAAGCGGTTGTCTGCTTCCCATCTTAGTCTGGCTACTAGGACATATGCACTACATTGTAATGAAAACCGGGCTTTGTTACTTCCCATTCTTTAAGGAGCTTTCATTTGATTGGACTTCTGCAATCCTCGATGACTTGTGCAATGAAACCTCCTTATTTTCTTTATTACATTTGTACAAATTCTTTTTACGTGTCTTTTACTGCAGATTATTAGCTTCTTCTGACTGTTTGTATCTTACTATATTATATCACTTGAAATCATTTATTCAATATGACAATTTAGGGAAACATATATTATTCTGCAGGATGTATCCTTCAAGTTTTAAGAGAATGAGGTTAGCCGAACAAATCATGGATTTCACCGACCCCTTTGCGGTAGCCAGACATATTGATGAGTTGAATGAGGAGAAGTATGGGAGTGCCACTAAAGAATATGAAGAAGTTCATGCTTGGAGAATGAAATTTATAAATCTTTTACCTCCCTATCTTATCAAGCCTTGTTCCAATTCAGAGCATCAGTCATTGCAAATCTCTCTAAGTTCTAATTCTCAGCCCTCTGGTTTATGCAAAAAAGTAGATTTGGTGCAAAATGGTAACAAATCATTGGTCGGGGATGTTATTGAATTGGATAGTGATTCTGATGCTGATGGTGTGAATCCTACCTTCACCCAGTCTTATCAATACGAGAAGCCAATTTTTACGCCAGTTGTTGTAAGACAGCCACCTTCTATTCAGTATGAGAAGGTTTCTTTTGGAGAAAAAGTTGAAGTCCAGATCAACAAAAGTCCTAAGGTAAAGCACATTTTTAATTTTTGTTTGTATTTTGTTGTAATATGCATGCCAAGTCAAAATGGTACCTTTCTCTCCAATTTGAATTTGTTGGCTTTAAATATGACAGTTTTTTATTTCAGTTATACTTTATTATTTTATTACATGTTTAATGTGATTTGTTAACAAAGTAATTTTATTTTAACTTTTCAGCATATCAAGGTTTTATAGTTTTTGTTATATGCTATAAATAGCAATTGGTTCATTTTTTCATCTCCCTTTGTATTGAATCTTCAATTTTTAAAAGGAGGGAAATAGCTGAAAAAATCACAACTATTTCTTTTTTAAAATAAGAAAGGAATATTCCCATTCCTTGTATGGTCTAGCAACAGTTGAAGGTAGGATAGTGGCGGGCCATCTTAGGGTGGAAATCTTGGGCTCGTAGACATGTTAATTGCGAAGGTTGGCAAGGATAGAGCTGCCGCAGTGGGGGCTCTCTCAGATTGCTTACATTGTTATTTTCCACTTTAGGAATTGAAGGTAGGATAGTGGCGTGCCATCTTAGATTTGAAATCTTGGGCTCGTGGACATGATGAACCGCAAAGGTTGTCGAGTATAGAGCTTCCGCAGTGGGGGCTCTCTCAGATTGCTTACATTGCTGATTTCCACTTTAGAATAATGTTCTATGGATGACGGTTTGAGCATCTTTAGTAGGCATTTGCATTATTGTTTCTTAGAGATTTATTTCATCATCTATTGTTAGTATTTTTTTTCTCAAGTACAATTGCTTTCATATTTTTTCTTTTATTTTATGTTTTTTTACTTCATAGTTTTACACATTTTAAAACTATATACGTAGAGATATGTTTTGGCCTAATAATACATGGATCATTTTATTCTGTTATTCTCTATTTCTACCATAGGTTTTATCTAAGCCTTATCAGGTTTAACAAAAGAGAGATCAGATATCCCTTTACCTTACCAAGTCATAATGTCATTATGGGAATCTCTATGGGGCACTTACCGGTCATTTCCTATAAACTACTTCATAAACTAATTGGGAAGAACATCTTCCATTGTTCTCACACAATTTATAAAATTATTCGAGGAAGAAGAAAGATTGGATACCTAAATGGCACCATTCATTAATTTAAAGCGATCAATCCTTTCTTTCCATATCAGGATACCTTATAATGCATTGGATTATCAAATACATGGAAGAACGTATTGAATCATTGCACTTCGTCTATAATACTGCACAAGCATTCTGGGAGAAAGTCAACATGGCTTGTTTTGATTTGGGAAGTTTTGCTTAGTTATGTAAATTCTGAGTTCAAGCTTGTGACTCAAGCAATGGAGTAAAAGTATGACATAATGCTCCACCACTCATAAAAGTTTGGCAAGCCTAAGATATCTCTGAGCCAAATAATTGATGCACGGGTGCATCAAATTTGGGTAGGAAATAAATTCCTTAGGATTTCTTTGTTTGGTCTCATAAAAAGTTTGATAAGGTGTACCGAAGAATCCTAGTGATTCGTCCGACTTCATAAATTTTAAAAACAATTTGCTAAAGTTCTAAGGAAGAAAATGGACGAGAATAATGTTTGGAGATTCCAAAAACTCAGTTATAAGATAGTTATAAGTAATAACTAGATATTTCACTCAATAATAAGAGGTTATTCTTATAATTGATGAATTCTGTCATGCCATCAGAAGTTTGGAGGAAAACTCAACACATGACCCAAAGCGTGGAATGTGTGATGATCTTTGTTTTGATATATATAAGGAGATGAATCACATGAGAGAAATTTATTGGAAACTTAACGACAAACCAACAAGTCAAAATAATCTTGAAAATCATCACAATGAAACTCTTGCTTATTAAACTAAAAGAGAGGAAGTAAAAAAGAAAAGGCAGTAAAAACCTTGGTTATATTTTCTTAATCAATGAACAATTGGAACTTCTAAACAAAGTACATCTGAAAAAACCTGCCGATTTCTCCCTTCTAGCCCACAAAGGTGCTTTTTCTCATGCTTTTAATTGTACTAAGTAATGCCATGAATCTTGGATTATTGACTTAAGAGCATCACATCACTTGATAAGGTGGGCTTACTGTTGACCTCATTTTTGTGAGGTCTTTTCTTCTCCTCCTTAGAGTCTAGGTTCTAGCTCTAGAAATCCCTATGGACCATCTTAGAAAACTAGAATTGAGACTCACCCTTCTAGAAGCTCCAGCCGATTCCTATTTTCCTTTGATGTCTAGCATCTTTGGCACAAGACCATCGTTTTATGAACGAGCGGTTATGGGCTATTTTGCAAAGATTCAAGGAAGATGATCCAAATAGGACTTCAAGCCTCAGGGAAAACATTCGTCACGACTTTTTCGTCACATACACACAAAATACACGAAATTCACGAATTTGCACGAAATCGGATTTCAATTAAGCCCAAAGGACGGGTGAAAATGCGAACTTCTCCGAATGCCCTCCGACGACAAATTGGACTGCGCCAACGCGTCCGGGATACC